CGATGGCGCTCTGGGAAAGCTGCGCTGCCGCTTACCAGCTGCAGCCCAAGCAACAGCCAGCGGTCGAAGAAGCCCAGGGAGCTAACCGCTCATCCGGATAGAGCCGGGGAGCGACGATGGGATGATGCCAGTCCGGGCAACCGGAACTGGCGGCCAGCAAAGGAAGCAGGCGTACGCACTAGGCACAGGTATGGACTCAATCTTCTGACCACCCGCGGCAACACCGTGGCCGGTGCGCGCAGGTGGGTGCGCAACTGCGTCCCTGCGTCCGGGCGCGGCAACAACGTCCTTACGGGTGGGCACCCCACGTCACCGTGCCGGAGGCGTGCCTCAACGGCTCAGAAGTGCACCATCTGGTCATCGTTGAAAACCCGCTGTCGGGACGCCACCCGCCCACGGTCGCTCCCAGGGAATAGCAGAGAAGAGCAGCTGAAGGCCGCTGTACCTTAAAGAAACCCAGGGAGTGTGCGTGCGGTTCTGGACAGGGACGAGGCGAAGCCATCTTTGCGTCGGTCACAGAGCCGCGGGGCCAGAGGGCGAAGTCCGACAGGGCCAGAGGCGAAAACAACTACAGCGTGGCCAGGAGCCAACTATGGCCTGCACGCAACACGCCCCAGCGCTGTCATGCAGACGGTATTGCTGGTAAACACACTTGGGTCCAAAGGTAGGAAGTGCGTGTACCAGGGAGGGCGGCAGAAGGCCGCCACACGAGTATATGAAACGCAACCCAGGGAGGCAGCTGAAGGCTGCACAGAGTGTGGAAGTCGGACGCTGCACCTGAAACTCTTGGGGATGGGGGGGGGGGCTCAGTCGCCCCACCGTTGTCTCTTCTCGCCGCGATCGTCTGGCCTGCCGCCACCGCGCTTGCCTCCTGACTGCCACTGGTCGTCGTGCCAGCCAGAGCTCCAGCCACTCTGCCAATTGTCCCAGGCGTCCCAGGAACTCCCTGCCCGGTCATGCCAGATGTTCTGCTGGTGGTTGCCCTTGCCCGTGCCGTCGGTCCTGGTGTGGCGCATGTATTCGGACCGCGCCGTTGCCCAGTCGATGCGGAAGTTATACTTCTTGTCCATCGCGTAGGCATCGTATCCACAGTGCTTCCAGTCATCCAAGAACTTGTGATGTTCGCGTCCGTGTGCAGCTTCGGGTCTGACTTGGGATCCTTGCATCCCGGGATCCGGATGCCTTTTGTGTAGGCCGACCACAGGGCGCAGAATACTCCACCCAAGTCCACTTGGTGTCTGGCGATGCGCTTGGCGGGCGTATCTCCGCGGCGCTCCAGGTCCACGGAGCCCAACCAGGCCTTGTACATGGGGCCTCCGTGGGCGTCGGTCAGCTGGTTGAGAGCGTGTCGTCCCGCTGCGCCAGAGTAGGCAAGCCTGCGGTCTGGTGTCTGTGGGTTGCGCAGTGGGTGGCGGCGGTCTTGCGCTGCGCCTCTCTCTCGCGCGGCTTCCTCTTGACCTGGCCCCCTGGAACCACTGGCGTTCTGCTGGGTGGCAGTGCCACTCCAGGCGGCCAACGGGTCGTCGTCGGAGCTGGGTTCCATGCTCTCTGCCGCTGGGCTTTGCTGTGGTGGCTTGGCGCCAGGGCCATCATCTTCAGCGGGGCCCGCGGCCGGGTCCGCGCAGTCATCAGGGGGAGGACGTTCGTGGGGGCTTCCAAAGTCGGCCGAATGCGCTCGTTCAGTAGCAGGAGTCTCGTCTTCGTTGTCCTCCTCTTTGGCAGCTAGGCCAGGCGCCTTCGCGTCTCCAGTGCACATTTCGGCGTCCTTCGTACCCAGGGAGTTGTCTGCACCAGCCGCTGTGGAGGTGTCTCCATCGGGTCTTGCTGGAGCTTCGAGCTTGGGGCCAGCCACTGCGCCGGTGGGCGCCCTGCCGCGTTGCCGGGCATGTCCTCGCCCATGGCCTGCGCGCGCGACTCCGCCAGGGAGGTGATGGTTGTCGAGGCCAGAGCATCGGCACTGAGGCTGAGCAGGAAGCTTGTCAGCGTGCCAATCTCGTGTCTGACTGGGTTGAAGCCACTCGCCGGGGCGAGGGTCGAGACGTGCCGCTCCCAGACCTCTTTGTGTTCCTCGCCGTTGGTGAGGTGGGAGACGACTCGTGCGGCGGCCAGCCGCTTGCCTTCCCAGGGCTGGTTGAGCGGGGAGCAATCCCTCGGGATGTTGTCGCCGTACGCCGCCCTGAGAAACATCGTCAATCGACTGCCTGGCCAAGAGGCTTCTTCGTTTTTAAGCTCTGGGATGTTATCATCGCAATGGCGGTGACAGAACGGCCGCCAAATGTAGTCCAGTCCAGGGTGGAAGTCGCGGAGGTAGGTCACGAGGAGCTGCTGAACGACCACGTCTCCGTTGCCAGACCCACTCCTGGGGTCGTCTGACCTGAGCGTGGGGTTGGTGACATCCCTGCTGTCCAGGAGCGGCCACTGAGGGACTGGCAGCTCAGGCAGGAGCTCCATGAGCTGCGAGAGAGTCCCGGGGGCCTGCTCGGCCACGGGGGCAGCTGCTCTCGAGGCGCTGGACCCAGGGAGGTTTGCCACTCCTGTCTTGGTGAAGCGATCTGGGGCCTTGGCGTCAGCGCCCATCCAGGCAAGGGTGCTGAGAATGTCCACTGGCGCATCCGCTACAATCTGGCTATTGAGCGTTGGCAGGACAGGGGCCTCAGCTGGATAAAGTGCCCTGTAGTCTCTCCCGATAATGTGGTCCAGAGTCGCGGGCCCGATGTTCCAGATGGGGACCAGGCACCGCCGGCAGCACCACGTGGCATTCCAGTCGCGTTCCCACCAGGCTATGGCTCGCCGCTCGATGGGAGGCAGCCCTGCTTGCTCGGGCACACCCACTCCTTCCTTTGGTTTCCATATGAAGCAGCCCAGGGGAGGTGCTCCAGCATTCCAGACTAGGAGCGGTGCCTCTGGGGGGCATGTGTCGCACCGAGCAGAGTAGACCTTGTTCTCCGCAGCTTTGAGGCCGAACCGCTCATCTCTGACCCGGAGGATGGGGATAGCGGTGTTGGCGCGCGTGGGGATGTGCATGCCCGTCGGCGTCATGATGAGATCCGCCAGCGTCCTCGTGTCCGATTGGGGGCTGCATCCGAAGCCAAGTGGGAGATGACCCAGGGAGGGGAGGGCAACCGTCTTCTTGTCACTTGCGCCACCTGTCCTCCAATGTTCGTACTCCTTGACCTTATCCGCCACTGTTGCACCAGTTGGTGCTGGGATGCCCTTTTCCTCCAAGTGTCGGATCCAGCAGATCTCGCAGTGCCATCCCATGTTTGTACCGTCGAGGTAGGCCTGGGGCCGGTTCTGCGCTACCATCAGGCGTGCATCGTCCGAGATCCATGTACCGTCTGTGGAGCGTAGCTGATCCTTGCCGCATTTGTCGCACTTAAACCTGCCATGCTTCTGCCCAGCCAACAGCCTGTCGTCGGGGATGTGCGGAGGGTCCTGCTTGGTACCTGGAGCAGGGGCAGACGGCATGGGGGCGTCCAGATCGGTGTGGGATAGCGCGAATCCGCCGCCGATGTAGGCGAGCCCAGCACCCCGGTCGTCGTCACCCAGGGAGGCGTCCGAGCCAGCAAGCGCGGTGTGCAGCGCACACACGGAGCAGTGGTGCTCACCCAGGGGGGCCAGTGAAGCGGCAGGGACGATCTTTTCGAGGACGAGCATCGGGGCCTTCAGTTGGAAGTCGTGCCTGTCCATCTCACTCCAGGTCTGTGGGCAGCCAGCTGCCTGTGCGTCTGGGTGGTGGTGTGCCACCGCAACGAGCTTGGAGATGTGGGGCAGGATTGCCTCGATGCGGCCGTGAAGATCGGCCAGATCCTCCAGCGTGGTGCCCCAGGTGCTCTCGCGAAGGCCTGCCGGAACCCTCGATGCGCTTCCTGCCACGGGACACAGAAACCCAGGATGGCTTCAATCACGCGTCTGGTGGGGATACGCGAAGCGTCGAGAATTTTGAGGGGGGAACCATTTAATCTCCCTAGATCGTTGGTGCTTCGGTCTCAGTGGAGCCTTACCTTACCTCCTTCCTGATCGTTCCTCCTCCTCCTCCTCCTCCTCCTCCTCCTCCTCTTCCCTCCTCCTCTTCCCTCCTCCCCCTCCTCCTCCTCCTCCTCCTCCTCCTCCTCCTCCTCCTCCTCCTCCTCCTCCTCCCCCTCCTCCTCGCCTCGCCGCTCCCGGCCGGGGGCCTTGGGCCGAGGATCGGCGCGCCGCGCACACCTTGCCCGGACACGGGAGTGGCGTAGCCGCGGCAGGCCCGTGCCGTGACGACCCTGGCGCCGGCCCCCGAGGCCTCCGACACTGCGAAGCGCGTTGAGCCTTCAATCCTCCTCCCCCCCCTCCTCCTCCTCCTCCTCCTCCTCCTCCTCTCCTCCTCTCCTCCTCCTCCTCCTCTCCTCCTCCTCCTCCTCCTCCTCCTCCTCCTCCTCCTCCTCCTCCTCCTCTCCTCCTCCTCCTCCTCCCTCCCTCCCTCCCTCCCTCCCTCCCTCCCTCCCTCCCTCCCTCCCTCCCTCCTCCCTCCCTCCCTCCCTCCCTCCCTCCCTCCTCCCTCCCCCTCCCTCCCTCCCTCCCCTCTCCTCCTCCTCCCTCCTCCTCCTCCTCCTCCTCCTCCTCCTCCCTCCTCCTCCTCCTCCTCCTCCTCCTCCTCCTCCTCCTCCTCCTCCTCCTCCTCCTCCTCCTCCTCTTCGATCGCGAGATCTTTCGGAGTCAGCCGACTTCAAGCCAGCGGCATCGCTCAACCTCGAACGCCCGCGGCGGGGTCGGCGCAGGGCATGGCCAAGGTCGGCGCGCTTGTGTCCGTTTGGCTGACGCACGGCCAGACCCAGTACAGAACAACATCCTTCAAGAACACGAGTCAGTCTCGAGGGTACCCTCTCCCAGGATGCACAAGAACATCCAACAAGAGCGAAGAACACGAGGCTACCCTCCCCGAGCCGACCTAGATCTGTTTCCTCGGCCCGACCGTGGCCCCCGTCCCTGGCGGGCCCACCAGAGCGCGGGGGTGGCGAGCGCGCCATCCATCCAGCCGAGCCCCTCGTTGCTCCAGTAGCTGATGATGGGTGTCATGCCGGCGGCCAGGGCCTGCCGAGCGGGAGGGCTAGGATGTGGAATTGGCGACATCAGCAGCAGCAGCAGAAGGGGATGACGACAAAGGGGCACGGAGGAGGAGGAGGCGGAGGCGGAGGCGGGGCGGAGGCGGAGGCGGAGGAGGAGAAATTGGAGGAGGAGGAGGAGGAGGAGGAGGAGGAGGAGGAGGAGGAGGAGGAGGAGATGACGAGGAGCGACCAGGGAGGAGGAGGAGGAGGAGGAGGAGGAGGAGGAGGAGGAGGAGGAGGAGAAGGAGGAGGAGGAGGAGGAGGAGGAGGAGGAGGCGAAGGCGGAGGTGGAGGCCGAGGAGGCGGCGGAGGAGGAGGAGGAGGAGGAGGAGGAGGAGGAGAAGAGAATGATGAGGAACGACCAGGGAGGAGGCAGAGGAGGAGGAGGAGGAGGAAATGCACGCGCCCCCACCTCCTCGCGTAGTGAAAAATCAAAGCGGGAGGTTTTGGGCTATTTTCAGCTTCTGGAGACCCTCACTGGGCCTCGGGACAATCAGAAAGCTGTCCGCGATGAAATGCCAGCCAATGGGGAAGGAGTCCAGAACTCTGAGGGTCGATGTTGTGATAAAATCACGACGTTGGAGTTCTGGGCAGGCGCGACCAACACTACCGCCCTCCCTTCCCCTCAAATTGGAGGAGAATGAGGACGAGGGGGAGGAAGGAGAAAGGAAGAGGAGGAGGAGGAGAAGGATTGTGTGCTGTCACGGAAGCAAGCACTGGCTGGTGGCTGGTATACTCGGCCAACCACCGGTGAGGAAAGAGCCGGGGTACTTCCTACGCCACCCCCGCGCCAGTGCGGCACCACACGGCCAAGCGCAGCAACACGCGCGCAGCGCACGCTCACAACTCACTGCACCCCCGCACGGCACCGCACAAAACCTGGGGAAAGCCAGGAAGTGCGGCCGCGCTCCGGTGTCGCCTGAGCGGGCAAGGAGGGCGCGAAAGGCGAAACGAGGGCGCGAAAGGCAAAACACTCCACTGCCCGAGCAGGCCACAAGCGTGACGCCACATATTGCCACGCATCCGCGGAGCCACCATGAGCGAAAGCAAGCTGAATCCTCCTGCCCCGAGATCCTCCTGGTGGCATGATCGCGCCGAAGAAGAGGGGAAGGAGGGCAAACGGAAGCATGAGTGGGGAAGAAGAAGTCAACAACGACTGGCAGCAGCTCCGCGAGCCTCCGACGGCCCCCGTCCCCCCCACCATCTGTGCCCCAGGTGCCGTCGCAATTGGCCACTCTTCGCCCCTCACTTTCTGCTCCCGCTTTTTCCCTTCCCCCCCCCTTCCAGCCCTTCTAAAATCCATGCCCTCCCTCCCCCCATCCAGGCCTCCGAGATCTCGGCGATGCCGTTTTTACCGCCGAACGTGTAGCTGTCGATCGTCGCCTGACCCACCCCGCCTCACTGGAGACAGGCAGGGGGAGGATGTTCGCGGAGATGATTTGTTGAGGGGGCTAGACAAGGGAGCGTTCGACATCCAAGGCGTCATCCTTGCGCTGGACGTTGGACGGATGGTTGCAGGGCCCTTGCTCCCCGATGAACTGGAGGAGAGACAGATGAGCGACGATCAAAAATCAGTCCTGCACAAAATGGCACAGCGATCTTACGCGGTGACGGCCGCCGGCACGGCATTTGCATCAAAGAAGAGGGCGCTTACGCGCGAGCTTACGCAGGCAGCTTACGCGCCAATGTCGGCGCAGACAACCTAGCTTTTGTCCGTCGCTCAGAGGGGGAACGTGAAAGGAGGGAAGCGGCCATGACTGGGAACTCTGCCCAACATTTGGGCAGCGACGAGCCAGGGTCTATCGGTCGGCGGCGCGCAGGAAGGAGTTGGCGCTAGGCCGGGCATGTCCTCCTGCGGGTGGATTTTGCGCGAAAGAAAAAACAGCGAAAAAACGCTCGAAACTCACCCGATCTGGCGTGTGAACTACAAGGAGCCTCAGCAAGAGCTTCAGCTCTGCTTGGGGGGGGGTCGCCGGGGTGGCTCTGCTGGGGAATGGGGGGATGGAAGGGGGGGGGTCCTCCATCTGGCGTTTTCTTCGTGATTTGCGCATCCGGACCCCCCCAAGGAAGGGAGGGAGGGGGGGGCCCCCCATTTGGCGTTTTCTTAATGATTTGCGCTTCCCCAAAATATGTCGGGAGGTCCCAAGGACCCCCCTCAGATCTAGCCGCTACCGCCCCCAGGACCCTCCCCTCGGAACCCTCCCTGGACCCCCACCGGGACCGCTCCAGGCACCCCCCCAGAGGAGAAGAAAGAGGACCGGAATAATCGAGGAAGGAGGAGGCCACAGAGCCGCGAAGATCACCGCATCCAGAGACCCCCAGGATCGGCGGCACTGGCCAGAGGCCATTACAATAATCGAAAATTGTTCCGAAAGGATGTTTTTACTATTTTTGAATACTCCTCGTGTAGAGTTGTGGATGCCACGACAATGGACACACTAACAGTCCTATGCTTGAATTTAGGATGGCGCGCCGCTGGATCTCCCCAAGGGGGGGGGGGGGAACCCCTCCCCCCCCCCCTTTCCTCGATCCGTCGTCGGGGACCCCCCCCCTCCCCCCTTTCCCCGATCCGTCGTCGGGGACCCCCTCACCCCTCCGCTCCTTTCCTGGTCCGTCGTCGGGACCCCCCCCCCCCCCCTCCCCCCTTTCAAAAGGGGGGGGGGGTCTGGACCCCCCCCCTGGCCGCAACGCCCCCCCCGCCCGCCCCCTGACTCCGGACCCCGACCCCCACCAACCCCTACCTACTCCTCACCCGAACCCAAACCCCTAACCCTAACCCCAACCACTAACCCCAGCCCCAAAGAGCACTCACTACTCATCACTCACTACCCACTACTGACTACTCGCTATTCGCTACCCACTTCTCACTACCCCCACTTCTCACTATCCACTATTCGCTACCCACCACCCACTACTCGCTACTCGCTACTCCATACTCACTACTCCCTCCTCCCTACTCACTACTCACTACTCACTCCTCGCCACCCACTACTCACTAATCACTACGCACTACCCACTACTCACAACTCACTTATCACTACTCATTACCCACTACCCACTACTCACTACTCACTACTCATTGCCCACGAATCACTACTCACTGCCCATTACTCGCTACTCGCTACTCCCTACACAATACTGACTGCACAGTACTCAGTACTCACTACTCGCTACCCCCATACTCGCTACTCAGTACTCACTACTCACTCCCCGCTACTCCCTTCCGCCTTCCACGATTGAAGGGGCCCTGGGACACACAAATAAATACACGCAAATAAAATGATTCCCCATATTTTCAAATATTTTCTGGGTTTTTGTCTTCCCCCCCCCATATTTTACCATATGTTCCTACATCTCCCTTGGGATCGACGCGATGAATCATGTCTGTGTGTCTTTCCCCTCCGGAGCGATCGTGGGCAGGCTCTCACTCCCCGTGGGGGCCGGCGGAGATGGCGCAGGCCACTCGCACAGGCCCCCGGGAGAGCTCCCGCACGCCCCGAGGGGCCCCCGAGGGATCCCCCGGGGGGAACGCGAGGAGCCCCCCCGGAGGGCCCCGCAGAACCCACGGGAGCCTGGATATTGACTACCTACCAGACCACCCCAACCTATCCCGAAGACCCGAATTTCGGGTTGGGGGGGGTATGGGCTCCACATGTGTTTTTTCGATGTTCCCGGACCCCCCCCCACTAGAAATCGAGGGTAGAGCCTTCGGGTTGGGTTGGGGTGGTTTGGTGGGTGGTGAGATATGGCTTCGGGGAGGCGAACGTTGCGCAACTTGCTTGGGTTTGCTGCCTCGGGGACGCAACAATGGTATAGACTCACCAGGGTTGTGTGGCCTCGGGGACGCGAACCTCGTGTAATGTACGCAGGATCATGGTTTCGGCGGCGCGAGTCTCAGGTATTCTTGCGTGTTCCAAGGAACTGCCCCCCGGGCCTCCAAGAGGCCCTCAAGAAGCCACGCAGCATACGCGGAGGAAGAGGAGGACGAGTCAGCAAGAACTGCCCGCAGGCATCACGACCGAAGCGGCAAACAACACATACGAAATCGGAAGCCGCACATCTCCTCTTCTGGGGGTCGGCGGAACGGCGCAAGCCTGTTGACTTAGCACTGGATCCGCACTCCCGAGGCCATGATCCCACGTGCCCCACGCTGGACCCGCTCTCCCGAGGCAGCGACCCCTTGCAAATCACGCTGGATCCGCGCTTCCAGGGGCACGATCCTTCCGTGGTCAACCACACTGGATTCGGCGGTGGACAAATCTCCCTGTAGTAAGCCTCCCCTTGGTGAGAACGGCCTGGGACCGAAACCGACGGACCGGGACCCGCAAAAACGACGGCCGCGACGCCCTCCCGCGAACCGAAAACGGCCGATTCCTCCATCGACGTGTCAGGGTAGGAGGTCGATCCACCTCCGATGGATCCGCGCTCCGAAGGCCATGATCGGGGATCTTCTGACCCGGGTCAATCCAAACCCGGGTCAGCAGGAAACCAAAAAACTGCAATGGAGGAAAAAATTATCCCAGTGCGAGCCTACCAAGGAGTTGGAGCCTCTAGGAAAGCAAGATTAATAGGAGCGGTAAACGCCGTCCTCCTCCGTCTCCTCATATAGCAGCAGCAATAGTGGATGCTGTGCTGCGCTATGCTATGCTATGCTATGCCATGCTATGCTATGCTATGCTATGCTGCGCAATGCTATGCTGGGCTAGGCTAGGCTAGGCTAGGCTATGCTATGCTATGCTATGCGGTGCTATGCCGCGCTATGCTATGCTGCGCTATGCTATGCTATGCTATGCTATGCTTTTGCTTTGCCTTCGCTTTTGCCTTCACGTTTGCCTTTGCTTTTGCTTTTGCTTGGCACCCAATGAGCACAACTGGGGAAACCGCGCGTTTGCTTTTACCTTTGCTGTTGCTTTTGCTTGGCTCCCAGGGGACTGGGGGAACCGCCCGGGGCGCGTTCCACTGCCCGGCCCCTTTAAGCTAAGAGAGTGAGAACCCTTCTAGGCAGAGCCTAGGTAAGGAAAAACTGCAACGCAGGTCTTCGCAAACCCGGGTCAGCCAATATGCGCGGCCGCCCCGCGGCCACGAGCGGATCGCTAACCCGGGTCAGCCAGAGGGGGTCTTCGCAGGATCCTGTAGGATCCGGTGCCCTGGCTGACCCCCGTTTGCATTGACCCCCGTAGGAAGGCACCAACTATACACCAACACCGATCCTGGCCAGGATCACCCTGGGCCCAGGATCGGTGTATACGCCCTCCTGCCTTGGGCAAGAAGGCATACACACCGATCATGGGCCCAGGGTGATCCTGGGCCAGGATCGGTGTTGGTGTATAGTTGGTGCCCTCCGACCCCGTCGCAAGGCCCCCGACATGATCTGCTGTGCATTGCGCCGGGCCCGCGCCGTCGAGGCCACCGGCCCTCCCTCTGCAGATTGCCTTCCGGGTGCGCGCTCTCCGCTTCCACGGCCGACCCGCCGTGAGATGACAGCGGATATCCGCGCCCACGGAGCCACCAGCCCTCGCAGAATACACTGCCTTATCGAAGGGGCCCTGGGACACACAAACAAATATACACACAAATGACAGGATTCCCCATATTTTCCTATACTTTCTGGGTTACTGTCTTCCCCCCCCCCCTTCCCGTATTTTCCCATCTTTTCCTGGGAGTCGACGAATAATTGTGTCTGTGTGTTTTTTTCCCTCCTGACTCATGCGCTCCTGGGGGCCATGATCCCTCGCGAATCAATCTGGATATCGGAGCTTTCATATGACCCCTCGTGGTTTGCATGGGATCGGCGCTCCAAGGGCAGCGAACACAAAGCTGAGCTGCACTGCCAGGCTCGCGGGACAGGCAAAACCTCAGAGGATCGACGCTCCCAAAGCCAAGAGAGCCTCGATTCGGAGCACCGCTCACGCATTTCGCGATCCATCGACATCATCTCGCGCTCAGCTGGCCTTCAAGACGGTGGAAGGAGAGATAAAGTCCGCACACCCCTGCCCCTCACGCAATTCGTGCCTCATGCGCCCCCAGAAACAACTCTGGGATTGGAACTGGAACCGGAACTGGACAAACAATGGCGACGGAACCAGTAAAAGAACTGCGCTACTGCCCTGTCGTTTCCTGGGCCCTGTAAGGTAGCAAAATATGCGTGCGAACTTCCCTTCGGGGGCCCACCGCTTCCTCCCGCTCTGCGGGCTCAATAACACTAGAAGCGCCTCCAGGAGGCCCCACAAGGCGGCACAGACATTGGCTTTACATGCTCTAGGATAGACCGACTGGAGCCTTACGGGGTCAAAGAGAGTTCATCGAAGAGAGGGGAGGAACCCTGGTGCGGCCAGGAGGAAGAAGAACACTCCGAGTGAGTAGTCGGGTGACGATGTTCAGGGCAGGGGTGCTGGCGGCAGTGGCCGAATGCCTGCAGATTAACCCGCCATCGCACCATCTTCATCGAAATCGGCATCGACATCACTACAATCATCGCGCTACCATAGGGAACGCGGAGTAAGGAACTAAGGAGCTTTTCAGGCCACGGCGAGCCTCGGCCCCGACCTGGCTCCACTTCCGAAGTTTGGTCCTTCTTTCAGCGCCTTGACTGTACATTGAATAGTGCTGGGGGGTCAGGTCTGCAGAACACCCCAAACGGACGCCAAGGGGCGCAATCAAGCTGTTCGGTCAAGCTGAACATGATGCACCACACCAGGCGTCAAGCCAAAACCTTGGACGTGAGCGAACGGTTGGACTTTGCACACCTTCGTCGGCTTGACCGGCGAGGCGTTTGACCAACTTGACGTCCCTTGCCTGGCCGTCCTGCCAGAGGAAGGCGCTCTCTGACCCTCGGCCCTACAGTCAACCCGTATAATAAGGATGCGCAATAAGGATGCAAGGGCCTTGGACGCTATGTTCGAAGCTTTTCGAGCGGGGCGCGGCCGACGAAAGTGGCCAAGGATGGACCGAGGAGGCAAGGATGCAAGGGTACCCTTGGGAAGGTTGCCCGTCCTTACTATGCGGGTTGACTGCACTCAAACTCTACATCATCGGGATCTACACCTGCGGGATACGCCCCGCCCGTCATACACAACAGCCATCGTCGCTGCCGCTCCGTGCGTCCCCGGCCCCGCCCCCGGCGCGCCGAGATCTTGCACGGCTTGCCCGCCTGAGAAAGGATGACCTCGCTGCACGGGCGACGGCTGGAACGACCCATGCCTCCTCGTGGGGTCTTGAACAAGGTGGTGGGCAGGAAGGACGGGAAGACTGGGGAGGAGTGATACAAGAGCGATGAGGGATGGAGCACAGATGATACAAGAGTTAGGTCGGGCGTGTCCTCCTGCAGGCGGATTTTGATGCTTCCCCAGACGATTTTTTGACTATTTTTGAATAAATAATTCCTCCTGCGGAGGGACAGGCCCGACTTCAGATAAGAGAGGGGGGGGAGGAGCGCGGAGCAGGGCATCGGCCAAAGGCCGGGGACGGAGAACACCAGTGGCGCAGGCAAACCTCGGCACCCTGGATGGCGCGCCCACCTGCATCACGTGCTCGAGATTGCAACTGCATGGACCCAGGAGGAGGAGGAGGAGGAGGAGGAGGAGGAAAAGGAGGAGGAGGAGGAAAAGGAGGAGGAGGAGGAGGAGGAGGAGGGAGGGGCAGCGCACACAGAGGAGGCCAGTCCACAAGAAACCCTCCACAAGAAACCCAACCCTGAGACCCCAGGACGTCCATGGATCTTTGGTGTGGGCACGTCACGCTTTCCATTGCAAAACCACCGAAACCCCAAAAACCAAAAGCACCCTGGAGGCGAGCAGGGTGTTTCTTGGCATGAGCCCCCACAGTACGTGAAAAATTGGTACACTGCCGAACCAAAGATGTTGCCCAAAACCAACAGCGGCCGCTGTTGGGCAGGCGGCTGTTTTTGTCTTCAGAGAACAACGTCCGCAGCGGCGCGGGTCAGCGCGTCCTGCTCAAAATGATCAGGAACCGCTGATGGGCATCGTACCCATTCTTTCCGTACTCCGAGTTTCTTCATAAGCGTAGGGGGAGCGTCACCCCCGCCGACAGCCCCACATCGACCCCCGTTGCTGGCAGCCGCCGCGCGCCGAAGGCGCTCCGATCCCCGTCGCGGAGCGACGACGAGGCGAGGTTGACCCCCGTCGGGGGGGGGTACCCCCCCAACGCTTATTAAGAAACCCAGAGTACCCATTCCGATCGTCCCGGTCGGAGCAGTAGGGAAGCAAACACTTTACACCGACGCTTTTTTATGGCCCCGCACTGGAGCCTGTAGACAAGAAAGCGGATCCTGGTGTAGACGGGATCCTGGTGTATACGTATTTCGCTATTTCTCTTGGAAAAGCGGGGGAAAACGTACATACACCGCGCCACCCCGACGTCGTCCCCCGACCCTGAAAAAGCCCTGGGACTCCAGAAACAGCCCGCCACTGGTAATGAATTTTCTGGGTTTTCGCCTTCCCCCCCCACTTCCCATATCTTCCCACATCCTCCTGGGAGTCGACGATTCATTGTGTCTGTGTGTGTTTTGTTCCCCCTCCTGAAGAGCACTCAGTTCGATCGGCCCGATCGGAACAGGCTCAGAAGAGCCCCTCGGCAGGCCGGAGGCCTGCCGAGCCCCTCCGGGGGGGCCGAGGGGCTTCTGTGTAGTCAGCAGGGCCTCCCAGTCATGCTGGCTCACGCGCCTTCTCCTCCTCCTCCTCCTCCTCCTCCTCCTCCTTCTCCTCCTCCTCCTCCTCCGCCTCCTCCTCCTCCTCCTCCTCCTCCTCCTCCTCCTCCCTGCCGCGCGGACAAGGACGAGGTGCCGCAAACGACGTGAACCCACCCCTGGATCCCGTCCTGTCCTTCGGTCCCCATCCCTCAAGGCCCCGTCCTCGAACCGCCGACCGGCCCTTGCCCGGGGACGGGCCCTTCCATCCCGGGAATGGACACACAAGGAAGGGGAGCGGAGGAGGGAGAGGTGAGGGGTACTGATGTCTGGTGTGAGGTGGGCGCGCCCAAAGTGACGCGCTGGAGTTTTGGGGGCGACCTGTGCACCCCCTGAACCACAACTCTAAAGGGGCCCTGGGACACACAAATAAATACGCACAAATAAAAAGATTCCCTATATTTCTCCATATGTTCTGGGTTTTTGTCTTCCCCCCCACTTCCCATATTTTCCGATATTTTCTGGGGAATCGACGATTAATTGTGTCTGTGTGTTTTTTCCTCTCCTGAAACTCCCCGCCTGCCCTGCTGAGGAGGCGAGGAGCAGCAACCTGCATTGCTTTCAGGACGCCGTTCGCGTCGACCGGGAATCCGACCTCCGCTCGGTGGCCGCCGCGGGGACATCGAGTGGATATGAAGGGATGCATCTACCACAGCGCAGCGAGGTGGGCGGCTGGAGAGAGGATGACGAGGAGGAGGAGGAGGAGGAGGAGGAGGAGCAGATGGAGGACGAGGAGGCGGAGGAGGGTGAGGAGGAGGAGCAGG